TCAATGGAGGAATCCCCAGAAAGAGTACTAAATGAAACAGAGGTAAGTAAACTATCAGATACTAAGTTCAAAACAGCAGTTCTAAGGAAGTTCAATGAGCTCAGTGAGCTCAGAGACAATTACAAAAAACTATAGGGAAACTATGAGGAACTTACTGCAAACTATATCAGCATGACAAAGGGCATAGAAACTATCAATAAGAGACAAGAGGAAATGAAGGATACAATTTCTGAACTGAAGAATACAGTAGAAGGAATCAAAGCAGGCTAGATGAAGCAGAGGATTGAAATGGTGAGCTGGATGATAAGGTAGAAAAAAGCTCCCAGAAAGAGCAAGAAAATGAAAGAAGATTCAAAAAGAATGAAGACACATTTAGGGAAGTGCAGGACAACCTGAAACATAATAGTATCTGTATCATAGGGATACCAGAAGGAGAAGAATAGGAGCAAGAGAAGCAAGGGATAGAGAACCTGTTTGAAAAAGTAATGATGGAAAACTACCCTAATTGGAGGAGAGAAAAAGGCACACAAGTCCAGGATGCAGAGGGTCCCATTCAAGAGGAACCCAATGAGACCCACTCCAAGACACATCACAACTGAAAGGGCAAATATCAAACACAAACAGAGAATTCTAAAGGCAGCAAAGGAGGAATAGGTAGTACCATACAAGGGGGCCCCCATACAGCTAGCAGCTGACTTCTCAACAGAAACACTATAAGCCAGAAGGGAATGGCAAGAAATATTACAAGTCATAAAAAGCAAAGGCCTGCAACCAAGACTGCTCTACCCAGCAAGGCTATCAATTAAAATGGAAAGCGAAAGAAGTAGTTTCCCAGACAAAAGAAGGCTAAAAGAATACGCCTCCACCAAGCCAGCATTGCAAGATATGCTAAAGGGACTGCTTTAAGAAGATGAAGAAAAAGAGTCTATGAATATCCAATTCCTTCCACAGTCACCAATATTTGATATTACCAAGCATTTTTAATACTTACTAATCTGACTGTGACAATGATGTGTTATTTTAGTTGTTACTTTATTATTTGTTGAAACTAAACCTGTTTTTGTATATTTCTTGCCTGTTTCTATTATTTTCAAGAAGCTTTAAATGACTTTTTGGTATTCTTTATCCATTTTTTGATTAACTGTTTATAGAATTTTTTCCCTAAAAAACCCCCAAAAATTATTAACCCTTTTTTAGATGTGCTGCAAATACTTTCTTATTTTATTACTTGTCCTTTCACTTTTTTATATGTATATTACTATATAGTCTTAAATGTTTAATATAGTCATATTGTCAATATTTTACTTTATAGCTTCTGGGAGTGAATATGTTACTTCAGGGTAAGAAAAATATTAGTTTGTATTTTCTCCTAAAACTCCTTAGATTTTACATATTGATTTTTAACTCACCTGAAAATTTTTGTACAAAGTGTAAAATAGGGATCTATATTTGTTTTATTTCAAATAATAGTGGTCCATGCACCTTATTTGTTGAATAAGCCTTATTTTCCCCACTGATTTGAAATATCAATTTAATCATATATTATATTGTTAGACAGATATATACATTTGTTTCTAGAATGCTCATTTTATTTCACTGATCTACTTGATTATTTCTGTGCTGGTGTCATGTTGTTTTATTTGCTGAGACTTTATAATGGATTTAAATTTTTTAATATTTTATAATGGATTTTCACATTTAAAAAATAAACAAAATCAATCTGCATTAAAAAAAAAGAAGAAAGAAGGAACACCTACCTTTTGCGACAACATGGATGGAACTGGAGAATATTATGCTAAGTGAAATAAGCCAGTTGGTGAAAGACCAATACCATATGATCTCACCTATAAGTGGAATCTAGTCAACAAAATAAACTAAAGAACAAAATAAACCACAGGCATGGAAACATGGAGCAGACTGAAAGGGACCAGAGAGGATGGGGAAGGAGGACAATGGTGGAAAGAAGGGGAAAGGACTACACAAAGAACATGTATGAATGACCCATGGACATGGACAACAGTGTGGGAATTGACTGTGGGAGCGGGGCGGGAGCGGGTGGGGAATGGGTGGAGGAGGGCAAAGAGGGAAAAATTGAGAGAACTGTAATAGAACAAACATGATTTTGAGGAGAGGAAAAAAAAAGAGGCAAAGGGAATGCCTAGGAAATTCCTATATAACACTATAAATTTGGCCTAGAGAGCAACCAATCCAGAATCCATCAAGTCAGAAGACACAGAGATCTCTTGAAGAAGATAAAATAAACAGAATAATAAATGTGTTTAAAGGTACTAAAATAATGACAAAAACAGGAAGAGTTTTGGATTAAATTGCTGCAAAGTATGCAAAAAACTAAGGCCAAAAATCCCCCCAAGACACTAGACAATTATTAATTCCAGGGAAAAGAGTTATACAGGAAAGGAATAGTAATTACAGTCCACTAGGAAATTCAGCAAAATAAAACGAATAAAACTAAGACTAATACAACTAATATACTGCTAAAACTTTCTGCTATTTTGAAAGAATAAAAGATGAGAATAGTTCAAGTATTTGGGGAAAAGGACATGCAAAGGATGAAAGAGCAAAATTTTTGCTCTCCATAGTATGTAATGCCTAAAATGGAAAAAAAAATTCAAGAATTAGCAGTATCAGCATGTTAGTTAGAAATATATCAAATGACTCAACTAAAAGGGGTTTCCTTGGAACCTTGAAATGGCATAGGAAAAAGTCCTTGTGGGTATTGCTTGATGTTTCTTGTAACGAGTTTAGTTCACCTATTTGAATATTTAAGTTATCAAAAAAAATTTTTTTAATTAAAAACAGAACTCTCACAGCTAATACATGGCTGGACCAGTACTTGAACCCACATAATTTTTTTTAATCCTCACCTGAGGACATGTTTATTGGTTTGAGAGGAGAGAGAGAGAGAGAGAGAGAGACATCGATGTGAGAGAAACATTCATCAGTTGCCTCCCTTCCTCGCCCTGACCAGAGATCAAACCTGCAACCTAGGAATGTGCCCAGACCACGGATTGAATCCACAACCTTTTGGTGTACGGGACAATGCTCCAACCAGCTGAGCCACTCCGCCAGGGTAAAGCCCCATAATTTAATTACAGATCAGGTCCATTAATTTGTGAGCTCCTAAGAGGCCAGTGTCTTCTTAGTACCTCTATTCCAATGCCTGCCTAGCTCGAAGTAAGCCCTCAAACGAGTGTATGAATGAATGGGAGAAAGTTCAAGGATGGAATTACTTTCCTAACAACAGAAAATGAATGAGAAGGGCATTCCAAGCAGAGGAAATAACAGAAGCAAAGATAGGAAATGGAGTGTAAGAACTGAGCAAGAAAGGGGCCAAGTGGAAGAAGGAGGAATAAGAAGCATCCAGAAAACCCACAGGGAAATACAATGAGGATGGTCTTTTGGAACTGTTGGCAGGGGAGTGGGAGAACACTGGTGCCTTGTGGACAGATTCACGTGACCCCAAGTGTATGTATATCAGCCTTAGGGACTTTTTTGTTTGCAATGATGACAGCAACACTTATTGATAAACAGTTCCTTCCCAAACAGCTCCAGCTTTCTGGAATCCAAAGTAGTACCAGACTCTAAAATTCTGAGTTCTTTCAGTAGCTCAACTACAGTACAACTAGTTACTCTACACAGCCACAGAAAGGGCAAACCCACAGAGGATAGGCAGGGGCAAGCAAAGCCTGGTAGAATACCTACAATGCCACCCTCATCCATTTTTTGGACCTCTTCGCAAATGCATTGAAATACAGAGCATAAATCAATCATCATCTCTTGATGAACCTATGCATCTACTATTACCATTACTCATACGTTCATTTCATCCAAAGTTTATTAAGTATTTACTCTACCTCAAGCAGTGTACTGGAATATAAAGTTTCTAAATTTAAAGAACTTACTTCTTGATAGCAGAATTATTTATAACATAACAAGATAAACAATATAACTGGCATTAACAAAAGTACTGTGGAAACATGATGGATTAAAAAACTATTTAAAATTTTTTATGTATAATGTTAAACAAAGGTGAAAGTAAGAGGCAACTCCAACAAACATACATACACCCACACTTTGCCTTGATCATAATCAATTCATTGCCAACCTTGTTTCTCTTCTAAATCCCCTCATTAACTTTAAGACATTATATGATTTGATGCATAAATACTTCATCATAATACCTCTAACAGATAGGGACATTTTCTTTAAACATTATAAATATATATCTTGAAAACTGAGTAAGTTTTTAAGATGTATGATATAATTAACATGTAATAAAATGTACAGATCTTAAGATGTTCAACTGAGTTCTGACAATTGTGTAACCACTATCCAAAACAAGATATAAAACATTTCTATGGCCCAGAAAGTTCCCACGGGTCCTTTTCTAATCAATTTCCTACAGCCAGATAACCACTTTTTGATTTTAATTATCAAAGATCATTTTTTGCATGTTCTTAGACTTTTGCAAATGACATCATAGAGTAAGAAGTTTCTAAACCAATAAAAGGGAAGAGCATTCCAGGTAGAAAGAAATACATGTACCATATAAAATTGTGTGGAAAGATATGCTCACAGAATGTTGAAGGGCTCAAGAGAGTTGAAAACTGGCATTGGTAACCAATAGAAGACCAGACTAGAAGAAGAAGCTTGTTGGCAAGCTAGGGTTTCCATATTAAATTCCACAGTTAATTCTGGGAATCATGTTGTGAAATAAACTTTCTCAATGCCCAAAACTATTTTTCTGACCTAAAAATACATCCGTTCTCTCAATAAGCTCCTTTCTCTTTAACCCTCCAACTGAGGGTGAGCAAAGCAAGAGCAGCATCCTAGGGCCCAACGCAGTTCACTCACATCCGGTGCAGAGGCCACCTCAGGAAAGGGAACAAGCCACTGTTGTCTCTCTTACAAGAGGGCACAGTCTCCCTGCCCCCCACCCTTTTTAAATAAGCAGTCTCAAGTCTGAGAAGCAGCCTTACCATTATCTGGATTTCTCTCTTGCACACCTGGAGATCGTGCTCATTGTTGACAAACATGCGTTTCAAGGCACATTTCATTCCATTGCTTGTCCTCACCAGAAACACGATAGCAAATCCACCTGTGAGAGAAACATATAAGCTCTTCTGAGTCATGGTCAAAGAGTCAGGTAGATGACTGTGCTAACTCTCGTCACTGTTGATGGTGTTGAGGCCACTGTCAGGTCTTAGGCCCAGCCTGGTTTAGAAGGCGTTCTTAGATTCCTAGGACTCATAGGTATTATTTATGCAATTGGGTGGCAGAAACCAGAGAAATTGTTCCTAAATACCAATCCCAGGAAAAAGGAACAACAGTAATTATCTTCCAAAGAACCTACAAAGAAACAGTTGAACAAATAGATGACAGGAAAAAGCTAATTACATTCCAACTATTGTCCTAGGCACTTTGAGATCCCACTTAATTCTAACTACAATCCTGTGAGGCTCAGTGTTACTTTTCCCTTTAAGGCAGTAATTACTAGCTGAGGTGTTCTTTAATACTTTGAATTTGTCACACCTTAGTGTTCTACAAATCCTTAGAACTCCTAACCTTGACTTCACTCCCCAAACACTGTATTAGGTGTTTGGTGAGATTGTTAATAGGGGTTATAGTTAGATAAGTGCTGCAAAGCTGTCAAAGTTGAAAGCCTTGGGATAAGCAGCACCGATACTGGACACTTAGTCCATCTGCCTGCTTGTGTAACTTCATAATTTACCTTGAATTATCCTCTACATTGAGCCTGCATAGCAAAAAGTAAAAATAAAAGTCACCGGGTTATGTTTTGCACAGAGGTGATCACTAACTGGATGAAGGTGAATGCAGAGAGGAGTCATCGGTAAGGGAACTTGAACTGAGGTTATGGCATTAGAGTGAGGCTAGCAGCCATATGCAAAATTGATATAGAGCAATAAGCAGAGGTTATAGAGGTCTCAGGCCTTAGATATGACTGGGTCCTGACCGCCAGTCTAGTTCCTGAGGACCAGTGACTGACTGTCGATGTTCACAGCATTTCCTATTGTACCTTTACAATAACTATTTCTTTTTAAGTCAGCTTGAGTAAGTTTCTGTTCCTTAAAACCAAAGAAAGTTTTAATCATAAAGCACTGTTGCATGTTTTCATAAAATACATATATAATTCTGTGTTAACATTTTTTAATGGGTTCAAATGTTCCAGTGTGTATTTTGATAATGATTTACTAGAGACCACATGTTTGTATATTTCCTGTCTTCAGCATTCAGATAAACACTAAAATTTACCATATAATCTTTATTTTAAATTTTTATTTCAAATTTTTTTTATTTTTCAATTATACTTGACGTATAATACTGTATTAGTTTCAGGTGTGAACCCCATGATTAGATATTTATATAACTGATGAAGTGATTACCTGAATAAATCTTTCATTTTAGCTGTGACCTCTTTAGTCTTTCCATCTCAATAACATTTTCCATTTTCTTATAATACTTTTAAGCAGTGGTCCCCAGCCTTTTTGGCACCAGGGAGCTTTTCCCTCGCTCGCTCGCTCGCTGGCCACTCATCTTCTGCTGTGCAGCCTGGTGTCTAACAGACCACGGACCTTGGCCCAGGGGTTGGGAACCCCTGCTTTAAAGTATACTTACACTGTTCAATTGTCAATTGTAATTCTAGAGTTTTGAGTATTACTGAAAAAATTTGTTTTAAACTCTCACATGCACTCACAAAAAGAGGTCTTACTACACATACACTAAACAACAACAAAAACAACAAACCCCTCAATTTTAGGATGCACATTTTTTATGTTTCAATTTTTAGAATTTCTGAAATGTTCTCATAATAAATATGTACATTTAATGAAGTTCTATTTATCTTACTTTTTTCCAAAAAAGCTATTAAATTCATGTGTCTTATAATCAAGTAGAACTGCAGACAATGACAGTATAAATTATAAAATTTCAATGTATATTTATACCTGTTTTATGACCAAAGTGGGTTTTCATTTCATAGGTATTTTGAATTTTGAAAAAAAGTCACAGAACTACAGACTTTGTATCAGCAGTACTTTCAGAGAACATTAAGTCCAAGCATTTTGCTTTATGGCCAAAGGAACCTAGGGAGGCTTAAGGGTCCCATGGCTAACTATGGGCAGAACCGGGAAGAGTGTCACTCCCTGATTATTCAAAAAATATGTTCTTCCCACTTCATTTATCTTAAAGAAAACTGAAATACCCCGGAAAATGCCGGAAACCAAAAGTTGGGAGAACAAAAGTTGGGAATGGCTATTTCCTACAGTTCTGTGAGGCATGACACCACTAAAAAGAACAAGGCTGTCCTTTCAGAAGCAAGTTGATGATGCAGCAATTTGAGATAACTGCCACCAGATGGGAGCAGTGTACTTTCCTTTACCAGGTAACACAATGACCTTTCCAGCCAGGACAGAAGAAATGAGTCAGACGCCTACCACTTGATCTAGGCATGCACAACTGGCTGAGAAGAGCCAGCCCAGATCCTCAGAACCCATAACCGTCATAAATCTAAAGGCAGAGCAATGAACCACCATGACTAATACAGACAGGACCATGTTTTAAAGCATCTATGCCCATGCAAGAGCTTATTTGCAGGTAGCAGCATTTAAATCAAAGTTCCTTGATCATTAGATTAAAACTGAAGCCTGATAGGATTGTCAATATAAAAATGTTGGCCATTATTACTATGTTGTTGACCAACAGAGAAGTAAATTACTAGAAGGTAAAGGGGAGATAGCACCTCTCAAGATACTTCTTCAGCACAGGTCTACCACATGGATCAGGGTAATAAGATTCTCAGCCACAGCTAAAGAGGATTCAGGCCATTACAAAAGGCAACTGTAAGACTGTCAACAGAGATGCTCATTTCAGATTGCATTGTACCCCAAGAGCCTGACTAAATGAAAAAAATCAAAGCTGAGGTGGGGATGGTTAAACAGAGGTAAGAAAAGCTAACATTCAGTAGAGCCTGTACCAGTCTCTGTCTATTGCCATTTTTTGATACAATAAAATAATCTCCATGATTTTACTCAAGTGCATTTCTTGGATAATCCATGAATTTACTGAATCACAACGGGAAAAAGAATCTGATCCATTATGTGAAGTAAGCAAGTAAAATAGGCAAGGTAACTGTGGCACGTACACACTTTTGCCTATTAGATATGTAGGAATTTTTTTTTAACTTCCACAAAGAAACACGTTTTCTCTCACTTTCCCTAAAACATATAGCACTTGGTCTAACTTTCTCCTAATTTTTGATGATGTGAATGTGTACGTGCTACTCATTAGGACAGAGATTTTTGTCTGTTTGGTTCCTTTTTGTACAGTCATGTCCTAGATTAGTGCCTAACATATCAAGGACACTCCAAATGAATTACCTTTCCTTTTAATGTTACAACAGAGAACAGAAAAGGCTACAGAGAGTGGTGGAGACTGTGGGAAACTAAAACATACGGCCCGTGCAAAGGAACAGCTACTACATATTTCCAACTATTTGTTATCATGTAAGAATATGGACCCAGTTTTGTCCGATCTAATCACTTCCAAAGATAAACTGGAAACCCAAAACCTTAGGTGAAATCTTCAGATTTAAACACTGGCAACAGGTCACAGTTTAAATTAATGCTGGACAGGTTGACACTGTAGAGGCTCAAGAAAACACATCTGGGAGGCTTTAGAGAGTCTCTGAGCCTACAGTTTTCCATATCTAATCTAATCTAACCCCATCATTTTATGGATGGCCAGAGAGGGGAAGTGACATGCCAGTGTTACACAAAGTTAAAAGATGACTTGCAAATAAAATCCAGAATATATACAGGGTCTGGCAAAAATAATGCCTGCTTGAGTATGGCTGGTAGGGTAATAACATGGGTGTAGTTGTTTATACTTTCAATGTGAACATTTCGCCCAAAATGCCATATGGTGTGCCTGAGTGTGATATTGATATGTTACAGAATTACATGACTACGATTTTGTAATAAAAGATTCTGTAATTTTAAAAGGGGTGTTATTAGTGCCGGACCCTGTATATTATCTCATATATTGGTTATCACAGTTCCACGCTGCCCTGAAGAGAAGTTTATGGAATATTCCCCACAACCCTCAACCAGCATTTATATGTGGCTTTATACATTCTGGAGGGCATGTCAACATAAACAATTTCATTTATATTTCCACAATAACTAAATGGGACAGGTGAGCTACATATTGTCCCCATTTTCCCAATAGGAAAGAGTTAAAGAGATATTAAACTCCTTTCATAAAAACACACAGAGCTTAGTTCGTGGTAGAGCTCAAAGTAGATCCCTCATCTTTTAAAATCAACTTCACATATAATACAATGCACCCTTTTAAGTGTACAGTTTGATACATTTCCACAATTGTATACTTTTGTAACCATCACCATAATCAATCCATCACTGCAATCAATTCCTTAGTCCTCTTTGTAGGCCTCTACCCCCTCCTTCTCATACCATCTCAACTTCTGATTTGCTTTCTGTCCCACAGATTAATTTTGCTTTCTCTAGAATAAACCAAGCCATATAGTATGTACTCCTCTGTCTGGCTTCTTTCGTTCAGCATAACATTTCTGCAATTCATCTTCATCATTACATATGTCAGTATTTTAGTTTTTTTAAACTGCAGATTAGTATTCTATTACATAGATTTCCCACAGTTAATTTATCCATTCACCTGAAGGATATTTAAATTATTTCTAAGTTTTGGTTATATTATAAATAAAATGTCCATACAGAAGACCTTTCTGTGGACATAGGTATTTATTTCGCTCCGGTAAATACTTAGGAATGGAATGGCTGGGTCATATGGTAAGTGTGAGTTAAACTTTATAAGAAACTGCTTACCAGCTCGCCACAGTGCTTGTACCATTTCATACACCCAGCTGCCACACATGAGACTTTGGGTTTTTCCATATCCTTACCAACACCTGGTACTGTTGTTTTTTTATTTTAGCCATTCTAGTGAGTGTGTAGTGATATTTTTTTTGTGGCTTTAATTTGCATTTCCTTATAGAGGCTTCATCATGTGAACTCCTAGGATTAGCTGCTCCCACCATTTTTG